ATATTCTGTAATTTACTTTGCGCACGTGTATTATTTATTTTATTTATCAAGTCATGTCATAACTTAACTCAAGCTATAAATATTAAATACTAGCACTTATTGCCTGAATTTTTCCGCCAGTCGCAAAATAACAATATTAAAATAAAACTCTATTTTAAATGAATTTAAAAATAAAATAGATTAAATATATATTAATATCAATTTTAAAATGTAAATATCTTTGGTAAATAATATCCGATTTCCGAATAATTATTTACATCTTTGGCACGCCGAAGATTTAATACCCCTTTGGACAATTCCCTTTTGCAGATATGTGATTTGTTTGATAAAAAAAAAATATCTTGGAAAGCAAAATATTTTACCATATAAGAACCTTCATTTCCTATGGAAGCCATCCGGCTTTGCAATCATATAAGAATCATAGTGAAACTAATAAATCCCGTCCTTGCTCAAGTCATCTAAATATAAAAAAAGTTTCCATGCCATAAACTACTTTTCGATAGATGGCTCCCATGGCAGTTATAATATATAGTGGTCCGATCCGTCTCCGACATATGCCTGTAGTAGAAAGAAAGTTTCAAGACGATAGCTTTAAAATTGAGAGACTAGCTCGCCTATAACCAGATAGACAGACTTGTTATATCAGCTCGACTGTTAATGCTGATATCGATTATATACATATACTTTATGGGGTCGGATATGTCTTCTTCTTCTATGCGTAAACGTTTCATGACGAAATTATACTAACCTTTACAAGAGCACAAATCAATTGCTGATCAAATTTAATTATTTATATTTACAATACTTTAAAATATTAACAATTTTTGCGAAAATTAAAATGACTATAACTATAAGTAAAGGAGTCCATCTTGGAATATTTTAGATAAAGAGTTTGGATTGTTATTCGTAAAATCTAGATTCGCAATGCTAGATTTTCATCCCATTTTAATCACAATTCTGGAGAAATTCTGAAGTATATAATGTTTACCAAATAGGCAAATAGCAAAGGAAAAATCGTCAACCCATGATCATAATTCGCTTTAAATCAATTTGCAAGTCAAAAGAATGGATTTTCAAGATCGGACATCAATTGCTTTATAGCAAAGGTAAAGTTATATCAGGACAATCCGAAATAATATTAAAATCCACACGTACTACCTTAAAATCATTCCTTCAGTGACTTACTCAGTCAGGGCGAACAGTTTTTTATATATTTGGGTCGATATGAAAGAAGCATTTAAAAAAAAAAAAGTATATTTCTGCTAAAAACTCATCAGCGAGCCGCTAAATTGAAATGAAAAATAAATTAAAGGTATTGAAAACCATTTCTATAGCATTTGGTCTATGCAGAGTCTATTTCGTGATGTCTGTTTTATTTGACTCGTTTTTAATTTAGAAATCTTTTTTGCAACTCATTGTTGAGTACAAAGCGTAAATCCTTTTGTTCCAGCCGTGCACGCTGTGCAACAATTAAATGCAACCAATTTCATTGCGTGCTGTGCCAAACCCTCGCAACCAAACTCGCCCCCTTCCACGTCGAACGAGATCAAATAAACCTGTGGACATCGGCTCTTGTTTGGGATCAGAGCTGGGTGACACACAAAACTGGCGTTCATTTATTCATATCCGATTGGCTTTGCCAATCAATGGACAAGTGCGTCCAATGCAGCTAGTTTCCATCGCTGTCAGAGATTTTCCGCAGCAAATCAATGCACATGCGGTCGCTGTGGGTGCCTACGAGTGCGCGTTCTGTGTGTGCATGCGTGTCTCGGTGTATGTGTGTGTGTGGTTGTGTCAAACGTGATTGAAACGAACAAAATCAATGGGAATTATTTGGTTTTCCAATTCGTTACACTTCACTAGTACGCTCAGTTAATTAATGGCCAAATGTGTATTTTTTTTTTTTGAATGGGGGTCACCTAGTTTTTGGTGACGGGTTGCCTAAAATCCGGCTAACCCGCTGATCTTTTAATTGTTTTATTTCGCAAACCCAATTCATATAACAATTGTTCATCAAATAACCGCAAGCAGAATTTATTTCAGGCCACCGCATAAGCCGCACTGCTCATTTGTAGCCAACAAAACCGCCAATTTGCTAGTGTGGCTGAAGCCCTAAACACGCCCTAAACACGCCCACAAATAGGCTCACACCCGCACACAGATCTACACACAAGTAGACGAACTGACTACTGTCAATATCGAAAAACATTAAAATTCTGCATTTGTTGGTCGCTTGTTTCGATTGTATGCTGAACACATACACACACACACACACTCGTGAATTTTTTTGATGTGTTGCAGGGCATTTTAAGGTGCTTGTAAAACACGAGGCATGAAAATAAACCAAGCTTATCACACTTTAATTTCTCTATACGAAGCAGCAGAAAATCCACACACACTCCTCATTCCCCACTCACAAACACACATGCACACAACCCTCAGTATGAATGACACTTGGAGCATTGCGGGCGACGTAAATAAAAATTTATGACCACAAAAGTATGCTACAAAATATGCGCATAAAATGATTATGACGATTATGTTGTAGCTGCTGTTGTAGTTGTTGCTGTTGTTGTTGTTGTTGTTGTTGTAGTTGCTGCTGATATTACACCAAATATCAAGCAACAACACATATGAAACACCAACACATGTGAAATGCTAAACGCTCACACACACACACACACATTTGTATGCATATATGTATACATATATATTTATTGACACAAATTGCTTTTCAGAACGCTGCTCTCTTGCCATTTGCTCGTCTGGGGTGCTGATGGTTTTCCTTTTCAGTTATACTCCCTTTTTTCGCTTTTTTTTTATTAAAGCAATAATAAAATATTCATAAAGATTTCGTTTACGCAGCGATGACAACATTTTACCGCCCATTTTAGAATAATGCCTATAAATTTGTAGAACCCTCTCACATATTATATATTTATGTATACTTATAGATCTCTATTTGCGCATACAATTGGCCCCACTGCCCCTGCCCAAGGCCCAGCCCCTGGCCCACCCAATCGACAGTTTATTAGCGCATGCCACGCATGAGCTATGTGTTGCCGCGATTTTAAAATGCTAGCCCGAGTGTGTGTAACTACGATATGTTCATTTAAATGGCGGGCACAACAAGCTGTGGCCATGCAATCATGTTAAGAATTCAATATCAAAATGCGCGCACAGCTGTCGCTGATGACACCGAGGAACGCAACAAACAAGCCCCAAACCCAATGTTGCGGTGCCATTGATGAACTGGCTTGTAGTTGGCAGAGGGGCAGGCCAGGGGACTCCTCGCGTTTTGATTGCAAATATGAAGCACCAGACAAACTCACATACAAATCTCAACGTATTGTGGGTCCAAATCAATTGTAAATAAGCTTTTTGGCAATATAAACATATACACATACAACAAGATGTAATGTTATACAATATATTATAGAACAGTGGACACAGTAATCTAAAGAGTTCAGAAATTTGCATTTATCGAAATAAGAAATTCTTTTTCAGATGATATAAGATAAATACAAACAAATTAATTCATATACATGTTTAGAATTCTCTATAATATAGCACATAGCAGATATAACAAATAACATTTCTGTTATTATATTATTTTGTTAAGCAAAATATGTCTTTCTAAAGATAGAATTATTTAAACATTTTGAATTCTCATTTATGAACGACAATGCATTACAAATATGTTTCTAAACATTTTTGCTTTAAAAATTGTATTATTCACTTATTTTTATTCTTGAGATTCTCTATCCTTCTCTATCCGTATTTAGAGAAGTTTCTTAAATGATCTTCGCTTGAGCCTCCTAACTACACACTTCCCCACCAGATCTCTTGCTTGTTGCAGTGTCGCTGCAAGCGTTCCGGTTGGAGAAGGCTTCGTCCAAGACGCAATGCCCCAGACTCATAGTTCGGCTCCGAATTTTCTTTTTACATATTTAAAATATATAATTAAAGTTATTTATTTAAATTTAATGGAATGAGATCCACTTAAAAAGTAGTTATACTCATATGCAATATGTAAGTCAACGCATTTGCGTTTGTGCCACACTGTGCACCGACTCAGGCATCATCAATTGTGAGTGCGTGTGCGGAATGCATTTAATAGTGTGCCGAAACAGAATTGTGCAAACACATTGGACACACACACAAACACGCTGAGACGTAGTTGAAACTTGAGAAAACTTATGCCAAGTTAAGTCATTTGGGTCAATTGGTAGGCAAATATGGGGAATGTATCGATAGGGCATAAGATCCGAGTCGACGATTTTGTCATTGGACTGACACGACTTGGAAAGCCGTTAAGAAAATCCATTAGCTTAATAAGTGTGATGCGACAGCGGGGGCAATGAGTGCAGCTGCCACTGCAACAAATTGCGTCTATCAACATTTCCGATGTGCTTTCCGTACTCGCTGCAGTTGCTCTTTCTGCTGCATCTGATTACTTAATGTATTTGCACATTTAGCCGCAAAACAGCGTGGAGGTAAAGTTGACATGTTGCCATTGCTCCCGATTGATTTAGTGGCAGCACTCGTAGTGCTCGATTATTCTGGATCTCTGCTTGGTTTTAATTAGTGCACAGCAGTGGCTCTCATTAAAGCCGGAGCCCAGTTGCCAGCTACCTGTATGCTATTGGCCAATTTATTGCAGAAGCTTCGATTGCAAGCCCCAGCCGGAGCCGGAAACGAATACATTTGTGTGGTTGGCACTGCGACAGATTGTGTGTCATTAACTTGATGCAACGGGCCAAACAGATTGCCAACGAGTGGTTGTGGGTGTGATTGTTGCCAATGCTGACTCTTTGTTTGTGTGTTCGTGTGTGTGCGGCACTATTGGCAGGCTGAGATGAGAAGTAAACCTTTGCTGGCGGTTTGGCTGTCCGGGCCGGAAAGTTTGGCCCGAACTGAAAACAGATTTTGTGGTCGATGTTGAACAGAGACGCTAATGGCGCTTGAATAATTAAAAAAGGAATGCAGCACATGCTCAGTTCAGTTTCAGTTGATAAACACGCATAAATATATATTTAAATATGCTTAATATGTATTCCATTCTTTTCCATTCGCCACACACTAGTTATGCAATTATATACATACACAATATTGCACTCAAAACAAGTTTCCTATTTAACACTTAACATCTGCCATATCTAATGTAATGAAATCGTTAAACTAGTTGAATTTAGCCTCATTACGCTGTCTAGTTTTTGGCACTATCCTTTACCGAAGTCTGTGGCTTATCCTCATCCGAGCCAGTTTTGTTGTCCTCCTCCTCCATTTCCTTTTGTCCAATGCTGATCAGCTGCTGCAGTTCCTCTTCCCAACCAAGTGCTTCGGCTAATTCCCAGACACCAGCATCGCAGTCGCCGAGAAAAGCCACATCACGCGTATTCTTAGGCTTGCCATAGAGCAGCGCTTTTCCGCTGGGATCCATCCAGGGCGCAAAGCTAGCGCGTCCAACAGCATCGCGATTGATCAACAAGCGAATGCAACGCGGCCCAGCGCGATGGATGAGCGAAGCAAAGGGCTGCACCTCTAGCGAAGTGCCCATGATGATAAGCAAATCGCACTCCTTGAAATCCTCCTCGGGGCTGTTGTAGAATTTAGCAGGCAAGTTTTCGCCGAAAAATACTATGTCTGGCTTTACAAGCCCATCACACTCCTCACAGCTGGGTAGCTCATCCGCGAATATCTTTCTCTTCATCCAAGCCATATCGTATTCATGCTTGCATTTTAGACAATGGTTTGTATAGAAGCTGCCATGGGCCTCAATAATTTTGTTCTCGGGCAAACCAGCCAAGCGGTCCAGTGTATCGATGTTCTGCGTATAGTGTCGCTGGAGCAGACCCTTCTCGTGCAACAGGCGCACAAAGTAATGCGCCGGAGTTGGCTCAAACGAGCCTGGATAGAGTTCCTTGGCCAGTGCAAAGAATGGAGTTGGATTCTTTTGGAAGTAGTCCACATCAAATATAGCTGTTGGGTGCGGCAACTTGTACTTCTTTAGGTTGTTGTACAAACCAGAGCCAGGCGAGCGAAAGTCCGGAATACCAGCAGCTATGGAATTTTTATTATATTTATGTCAAGTAATTAACACCTTCAAGCAAAGCCTCAAAGACATATCAACTCACACGTGGAGATGCCAGCACCCACCATAGTCACAATGTTCTTGAACCCATGTTCGCGCCAGTGTGACGAGAGACCCTCAAAGGTCAGTTCCGGTATTACCTTAATTGGTTCATTAGTAATCTGCATATAGAATGGATAAAGCTCACCTTATCCACAGTTATGCCTTCGTTGTCTGCAAGGGTGCCTGATGCCAAATTGAATGTCTGTGAGAAAAACCGACGAATCATATCCATTGTGCCATTGTCTGAAAATGAATTATCTGACAACAAATTCAACAATTACTTGGAAATCTATAAAACCTTCATCGCTTTGGCTGTCGGAATCAGTTTCTGGTTCTGTTGCTGTTGACGTCGACTTCGACTTCGACGTCGACGGCTTTGTGGGCAGCCCGTTTTTGTTGTGCTCGCTTTGGCTGTCATTCTCCTCGCTGTCACTCATTTTGCGTGTGTTTGCACTCAAAGTGTAAGGTGACAATCTAGCGAAACAATAAAGTGATTTTCGTGTCAGTATTTTTATTTTATTTGCGTTGTATGAATATTTTTGTTTAGCTGATGTAGAAATTCTCAGGGCCAAATGCTTGGGGTTGCCACACTGTGAAAGTATCGTGCAGAACAGAGCTGAGTGCTACAAAACTAGCAAGAAGTATAACGATATATCGATTAATTTGACGTTAATCAATAATGGCGCAATTCTAACGATTTAAATATAAATCTCAGCTGAAACGCACTTTTATGAAAAGATTTGTAACTTAACCGAAAGAGTCCTACCAATTACGAGAATAAAAAGCAATTTTCACTCAATATTTAAAGTATCATTTTTCTCTTGTTTTTATTTTATTATATCATAGAATTTTCATTTCGTTTGGTTTTCTTATCTATGTACTTGCTTTTTAAATATCTTTGTTTTCCAAATTCTTGACATTATTTTTTTTTTCTTTAGTTTTTATTTTGTATATTTTAGTTTATTGTTTAAAATTAACATATACATTTAACATTTAAATGATTTTGAAGAAGTTTAATATATATTTTCGTGTAGTTTCTCTATTTCATCTGCCTAAAATACGTTAGTTTGCATTTTGTCTGTGATATCATGACAATTATGAGAAATTTGATGGATGCGCACGGAGTGAAAGTGAATGTTCCCTATTTTTTTTATTTTTTTATTTCAAGTGGAATGTGGATTGAAACATTTATACATTTATGAAGATACATTTAGATATAGATGGCACGAAATGTGCTCTTTTATATAGGTATGAGAAATGTATTCGAATCGTCAATGTCTAGTACACACAATTATGATCGTTTCCTTCGAACTTAGCGTTAAATCAGAGTTCTATGAAGCCAAAAAGCGAACCTAGTTCCAATTTGTGAATTTGTTTCCTGTATTCTTTTGTTTTTAATATATATTTCTATATGTATTCTGTTGTATCTGTTGTATCATATGTGGACAGGTAAATGTGTTACAGCATTTAGCAAGTATATTGTGTGTGAGGGTAGGTGTGAGTGTGTGTGTGTTGGTGTGTGTGTCCTTGTTGAGTGTAAATATATAAATACGTTGTCAGCTGTATATAAAGACGCAAAATATATGTATATATGTACATATAAAAGATTTACTCATATATGCAAATATTTTATAGTTCGAGAGTTTCACTTTTTGGTATGTATTCTCAATTAAAAAATGTTGTTATAGTCTGTTTCCTTTTAAAATGTCTGGATTTACTTGCTGGCTCTAGTTAGTTTTCATTTTTGTTTTCCTTTTTTACAAGTTTACTTTGCAAAAAATATAGAATGTATATAATTTTTTTTACTCTTCTGTTCACTTTGTTTTGTTTTCTTGCTTTGTAGGTACACGATTCTCACGTAAAATGTTTAATATAATATTGTTAAACATTTCTACTGCTCTTTTCTTTTGGTTGGTTAAAAATTTTGATGCAAATGGGCTTGGGCTCACAAATATTTGAATTCTGTTGGTTCCACTTGTATGTAAATACTATGTATGTATATCTCTGCAGTTATCGGCATCAAACATCAATCGAATTATGTATGTATATATTTAAGCATGTCACATTCAATCACTAGTACATAGTATATCAATATTAAGATTCCATAAATAATTTCTGGCTGTAATCGGTCTGAAAGTAGCTCAAGTTCTTTTTTTCATTTCTATTCATAATTTTAGTTACACGTCTTTAAGTATGTATTTATGTATGTAGTAGTATATGGTTTATATCGTATATATGTGTGTATATTTACTGCATATTACTTTACTATTATAATGTTTATGTTAATATATGTATGTTTTTACCTATTTATGTACGTTTAACATGAATTTACACGACATTTAAGTTGCTTGGTTAATCTGTTTGCTTTGTTTTCTTTTATTTTCATCGTTTCACTTTACTTTTTATTCGTAATGAAAACTTAGTTATGCTAATTTCAACTTTATAAGTATGTGTGTGTGTGTGTGTGTGTGTGTGTGTGTTAGTTGGTTGGTTGTTTGGTTGGTTGTATCTGTGTCTGATATTTCACCTGCTCCTCCTGCGCCTCAGGGTCAGACCCCAGCCCGGGCCCGTCTAAGGGGCTTTCACACTGTGTGCTTTATTTGTACCTTGTAATGTGGTGTTGGTTTTTTTTCCTTTTATTTTTTTTTTTGTTTTCATTCAGTTTTGACAATTAGAATCCTATTATTAGCATTAGCATTAACATAAATGCTGATGCACACCGTGACAACCAGTTCAACTAGTTTGTTGTTTATCAAAGCGGAATTAAGAATCGTTTCATTAACATAATGCATAGATATATATATATATTTGTATATATATATATAGTGTAAACTCTTCTGCTCGACGGCAAAGATCTCAACAAAATGGTCGTATTTATAGATAATACATATCAAGAAGAACAAAACAACATAAACATAAACATAACAAAATGCTTCATTTCGAGTGTGTGGGTTCGTGTGTGTTTGTGTGTTTCATACGCTGCTTAATCATGGTATGATCCTTAAGGATATCGGATGAAGACACAACAACAATTATGGATATAGCACAAACTATTAATCATAGTTTACGCGCTACTCGAGATATTAATAATGCATACTACATGTGTATGAGTATAGTTTTTCTTATGTACCTATGTATGTATGTATGTATGGGGCGAATGAATGAATTGATGTGCTTTGAGTCGCGGACACAGTTTGACACATAACTCATGAGTGTTATATATATGTATGTATATATATATATATGTATATAGAAAGGTTATAGAGCATGTGATTGTAGGTAAGCTCTTTTGTAGTGCTTATAAGTAAGCTCTCAAGAAGCCCAGTGATAACAAAGTTTAATGTTAATAGAGTCATTTAGAGTCTAAATCTTAAAAACGTCATAAAGTAGTACATTACTTGTCTTGATTCACTTTGTAAACTTAATTAAATGATCAGTGTAAATGTTATTTAATTATATATACGATTTTTTGACGCACGCTCAGTACAAGTTTTTTTTTTTTTTTTGTTTGTTTACCAATGTGCAAATTATATATGTATTCAAATTTGTTATTTTATTAATTAGTTTTTGTTTTTGCTGGACGTTTTTCTTTCCAAATAACTGCCCGAGCGAAAAGTCTTTTGAAAGTAAGGTTATTTCTTTAGCCAATTTTGAAGACATCTTGTGGTTTTTTTTTTCATTTCATTTTTTGTTTTTTTTGTTTTTTTTTTTTTTTGCTTTGCCAATTCACACAACTTAGTTAAGAGCAATATAAATACATATGTATTTGCTAATGTATACATAAAATAAATTATGTCAAAGCTCTATATAAGTATATATAAATCGCTTGTATGAGTAAATCATAAGTCGTAATTCTGGCACTGA